TTCACAAGGTCCTGCTCAAGATCCGCAGAGACCATGCTCGGGTCATTCTCATAGCACCGGCCTGGCCCTGTCAGCCATCTCTCCTAGACACGTCTCTCCTAGACATGTCCGTGGGAGCCCTGATTACCTTACCACTCTCCACGGACCTTCTAACACAGGACCACGGACGTCTCCAACACCCGAACCTGCAGTCGCTCCATCTCACAGCATGGAAGCTCCATGGTTGAATCCGTCTGAGCTTTCCTGTTCAGACCAGTTCAGACAGGTCCTTCTCGGCAGTAGAAAACCCTCGACGAGGGCCACATACCTTGCCAAGTGGAAGAGATTTTCAATCTGGTCGGCACAGTGCGACTCGCCCCCGATGCTAGCCTCAGTGCCCCACATTTTGGACTATCTTCTACACCTGAAGCAGGAGGGTCTCTCATTGCCTTCTATAAGAGTGCACTTGGCTGCATCTCAGCTTTCCATCCAGGGGTACAGGGCCGCTCGGTTTTCGCTAACCCTCTGGTCAGCCGCTTCCTGAAGGGACTCGACAGGTTGTACCCGCACGTCCGCCAACCGGTTCCTGCCTGGGACCTCAACTTGGTCCTCTCTAGATTCATGGGGCATCCCTTTGAGCCTTTAGCAACTTGCTCCCTGCTCTACCTCTCTTACAAGGTCGCGTTCCTGGTGGCAATAACCTCAGCCCAGAGGGTGTCTGAGCTCAGGGCCCTAACTTCAGAGCCGCCCTACACCGTGTTTTATAAGGACAAGGTTCAGGTCAGACCCCATCCGGCCTTCCTCCCGAAGGTGGTATCGCAGTTCCACATCCACCAGGACATTTTCCTCCCGGTTTTCTACCCTAAACCTCATTCGAGCAGCAGGGAGCAGAGGCTCCACACTCTGGACGTCAGCAGAGCGCTGGCTTTTTACATCGAGAGGACGAAACCGTTCAGAAAGTCGGTCCAGCTCTTTGTGGCAGTGGCGGACAGGATGAAGGGTCAGCCAGTTTCAGCCCAACGCATGTCATCATAGATTGTGGCCTGTATTAGTGAGTGCTACAATCTAGCAGGGGTTCCCGCGCCCCCGATAACAGCTCACTCTACCAGGGCGCAGCCTTCATCGACGGCATTCCTGGCTCAAGTTCCCACCCAGGAAATCTGCAGGGCAGCAACGTGATCATCCATACGCACTTTCGCCGCGTACTGTGCAATCACTCGGCAGGCCAGAGACTATGCGGCCTTCGGAAGAGCAGTACTCCAATCAGTGGACAGCTCTGACCCCACCTCCTAAATTTCGCTTGGGAGTCACCTGATTGGAATGGACATGAACAAGCGCTCGAAGAAGAAAAAACGGTTACTCACTTCTCGTAACTGTTGTTCTTCGAGATGTGTTCACGTCCATTACAATACCCTCCCTCCTACCCCTCTGTCGGAGTAACCGGCAAGAAGGAACTGAGAGGGTGGCCGGTCGGCAGGGCTCTATATTGAGTGCCATGAGGGCACAACTCCAGGGGGCACCTAGGCCGACCCGACGGATGCTGCTGCTAAGGGAAAAATCTTCCGGCCAACGTGCACTTGCGCACACACCTGATTGGAATGGACATGAACAACACATCTCGAAGAACAACAGTTACGAGAAGTGAGTAACCGTTTTTTCTCCAGGATATCAGCTTTGATGTCCTTTTGGGGAATGACTGTCCAATCCACATGGGAGATGTGTCACACTGCCTCAGGTGTAACTTCCCTGATGCTGTGACTACAGCAGCAAGCTCACAGCCAACCCTCACTGGGGAAGCAGAGAGAGAGCTGAGCCCCCTGCTGAGTGTGGGGAGACACACGCAGGGAAGGAGAACTGCCAGACATGGTTGCCCCCTGTCCAGGGGTGAGAGAAGGCCCATAGAAGGGTAAAGCAGCTGGAAGGCTGTTACTGGTAACAGACAGCCGGTCAGAGGGTCGCCATGGTCATGTGGGGTTCTCTTAACCAAGAGACCCAGAATCAGAACCCCCTGGGAGTGGGGGAGACTCTGTCCTGGGGGTGAGGGCAATACATTAACCCCAAAAGGGGAAATGGGTTCCTTGCACATGCACAGCTCTGGGACTGAGACACAACTCCAGAGGGGGCCTGCCAATGTTGGGGGCAGCCTGGATCACCAGACCCTGGGATGCCAGAGCCTCAGAGATAAGGCTGGATTGACTCCCCTTGCAGGGGGACAAATATACACTGACCACCTCCCACCCAAATGCTCAGGAGGTCACTTCCTACCCCAAACAAGGAGTCAAGACACCCCAGGGTGCAGCCAAGATGGCTGACACATGGAGGAATGTGGGGTCACTGCCCTCATCACTCACTGGAAGATGGTCAGGACTTCATCCACTTTCAAACCCAAAGGTTTTTGGGGTGGCAAAAGGGTATGGGGCGGCATGAAAACTCTCCATGTGCCCCCTGCTAGTATTACCTCACAGACCAGACCTAAGGGAGGATGTGAAACTGCTCTGAACTGGATACTGGAAACTGTAAGTTTGGTTAATTAGAAACTGTGCTGTAAGAATCTTGGAAGTGCCTGGTAGGATAGCTACCAAGATGAGAAATATCCTGTGGCATCTATGGATAGCATGTGTGGGTTTGAACTTCCCCTGGTCACTGGTTAAAGTGACCCGCGTAGTTCAGTCTTGCAGGAGGAAGAGATGCGACAAAGTGGGAATATTTTTATGAATCCTATGTGTGCCTCAGTTTCCCCCCATTATGTTACATTGCTACCCAGTGGGGGGAAATGATTGTTTGCTCTCAGGGCAGACTAAGACATAGGTGTGTCTGTTCATTCCACCCAGACAGGGATGTGACATAGTCCTTCAGGAACTGGCTGAAACTGACCCAGATCAACAATGGGTCCAGAGAGACAACGCACGCTCCAGTGACTCACGAATTGACACTTAACATCAGGAAGCTCCAGCGAAAGAGAGGGGTGGTTGACCTCAGCATGGCCCAGCCTGGGAGAACAAAGGACAGACGTGTCCAGCAGGGAATAAAGAGGTGGCTTCTGGAGGAAGCTGCGGGCTCTCTCATCTGGGAACCGATGAAGGGAGTCAGACAATGGAGCTCACTACAGCTTGGCTGCTGAATTGTGGCTTGACTAGAATGGACGATGCTTTGACTTTTATCTCTATGCCAACCTAACGATTTCCAGCACTGTGTTCCACCTAATAAACTCTGCTCTGTTCAGAAAAGGCTATTTAAGGTTTCACTGCAAATACTGGCTGGGGTGCATTAGTCCCCGAAGAGCATACAAGTGTCTACCAGGTGTCTATATTTGCTGGGCAGAGCTCAGTGCTGGAGCCCAACAGCTCAGTCTAGGGGAGCGGTGAAGCTGTGTGGCCTACCCTGACAGAACAGCAAGACCCTTTGGGGGTCTGGCACACTGAAGGGGTTCTTCAAAGAGACTGTTCAATAGCTGGGGTGTATCACTGGCCCCATGGATCTGAGACTTGGGCACTTTGCAAGACTTCTCTTTTTCTGGCAATGAGCTGCAGAACCCTGACGACGTTACTTCCGGAGAGTCTTCAGGGCAATGACTGTCTTCCAGGGCAGCTGTACCATGCTTAACACAATGAGGTCTCAGCCTTGATAGGCCTTTGAGCACAACCACAATATAAATAATACAATAAGGAGCCACCACACCAGATCTTCTGAGAAGTGTGTGGTTTAAATCCTGGGGAAGAGAGAATCTGGCTCCTCTCCTAGAAGGCACTGAGGCTATACCCTTTTACATACTGGCACCTAGAGATGACCATGATGGGGAGCTATAAAGCTAATAAATAAACAAACAACAATTATCAGCCAGGCTCTGAAGTCCTTCCTCGGAGTTCATTTATTTTCTTGCCCAAACTCTCCCTGAGTCTCACTGACTCAGGAAGGGGCTGAGCCAGTGTGCACAGCCCACAATGGGAGTTGGACGGAGCCCTAACCACGGCCTTTGGGATGTAGCCGAGTTGGTGAATATGTTCTGTGTTGGTTTATATTCAAGTTATTCACCAGTCTTAATTCAGGGCTACTAACAACAACCGTCATAGTGACAGAACATCTTAACTCCGATCAATCTAACCTAAAACCAGCTGCCTCCTCAACTTGCCAGCCCCTGAACTGGAGACTCTATTGATTCTTGTAAAAAAATCACAGTAGCACCACAGCTTTCTTTTTTATTTGTTTACCACAAATGTATGTATTGGCATTATCTTAATAGCTGTCTTTTAAAATGTGGGGTTGGGGGGGGTAAAATTGTGTGGAGGGGATGGGGAGGGGTGTGTGTGTCAAGGCTTGGGGGTGTGTGTGGTGTCAGGATTTAAGGGTTGGGGACAGGGCTGTGTCAGGTTTTGGGGGGAAGGGGAAGAATCAGGCCAGGGGGTGGTGTGTGTGAGGGCTGGTGGGGAGGGGAGGGATGGCCGTGGGGGGAACAGTCAGGGCCCAGGGGTGGGAGCTGGGGTGGGCCAAGACTCAGCGGGGCTCAGGGCTCCTGAGCATTGGGGCTCGGGGGGGATCTCAGGGCTTTGGTGGGCTCTGGTGCAGGTGAGGTTTGGGGGGAATCGGGTCTTTGGGGGTCAGGCCTAAGGAGGATGAGTCAGGCCAGGAGGTGTGTGTCAGGTGTTGGGGGCGGGTCAGGCCGGGGGGCTGCGGCTCCGGGAGGGAGTGGGCCGTTGGGGGGGGGGGGGGGGGGCTCTCGGGGGGCGGGCTCAGGCTCGGCCCCAGCACAGCGGGAGCAGCAGTCCCCGCAATCCGCCCCCTTAACGGGCCCGCGCATCGCTCCGGGGGTCCCGGAACCCGCCGGGGGAGGGACCGGCTCGCTCCTGGGGCCCAGGCCGGGCTGGGCGCAGCGCTGCCGAGGGACCGGGGACACCGTCCCATCAGCGGTTCCCATGGCAGCCAGGCTAACCTCTGCCCCGTGAACCCCGGGGCCCGACCGCCCGCCAATCGCAGGGCGGGGCAGCAGGCCCGCCCCGTGGGCGTCCCCGGCGCGCAGTGGTGACGTCGTGATGACGCGAGCGCCGGGCCGTAGCCCCCAGGCTGGGCCGGAACCGCAGCCGCCGTGGGCTGAGGTGAGTGCGGGGCCCGCCCGGCCCCAGGGGCCGCCTCCCTCGGGGCCCCGCATCCACCTGCCTCAGGGACGCGCCGGGGCCCGCGTCCTCCCTCGGGGCCGCGCTCTGTCCGTGTCGCCCCTCAGCGGCGGGGCCGCGCCGAGCCCGTGTGGCGCGCGCTCCGCGACCCCCCCCCCCCGGCCTGTCAGTGCGGGCCCGGCCCCGGCCCCTCGCCCCGCCGGTGCGCCGGGGTCCGCCCTGAGCCTCCCCAGCGCCACGGCAAGGAAAGCGGCTTCCCAGGTGCGCCTCCGGGGCCCTCAGACGGGCAGGACCCTGAGCGCAGGGCCGGGCGGCAGAAGCTCCCGCTGTGATCGGGGAACGCGTGGCTGCCTTCCCGGAAGGGTTTCCACGGGAGTCCCCCTGGGCTCTAACCGGTGTACAAACACCCTGCGAAGCCGCCTCGCCGGGGGCCCCGCCAAGCCCTGGATGGTTGTGCGGGGGGGGGTTCGGCTCCGAGTGATGGGAGCCAACGTTAGCGCAGGTGGCAGCAATGGAGCTGGAGCAGTGTCCGTGATTCGGCCCATCTGATAAGTACTGTTGTTAAATCTCCCAACCGGTGCACTAATAGCATGTGGGTAGCGGGGATAAAAAGCTTGTCATTGACAGTTAGATTATTGCAATAGGAGAGGAAACAGCAGAAGACTCTCATTTTGTTCCTATTTATTTGGGATAGTTGTCCCTCGGTCCCAAAGATGCGTGATTTGTGTGGGGTAGAAATGACGTACAAGTCAGCTCTTACTGTCTTTCTCTAATGGATGTTTGTGCAATGGGTCTGTTTTTACATAATGTGGTAGATGGGGCGGGGAGGGGGGAACAGGATGTCAGTGGGAGAGTTGCACATCCAGACATAGCAACAATCAGTGTTTGGGGGTTGCTGTATCAAAATGAAATACTTTAACTGTGTGCTTCTGCAAGTGTCTTCTTTCATTTGGCTTAGGCACAACCTCCTTCCATCAACATTCTCTGAACATTTTTAAGAAGTTCCTTCTCTTTTGACGTATGGAAGAAACCCCTAGACTTTGTTTTTAAAGCAATTTTTTTATAATCACTCATGTTCAGTTAGTCCCGATACAGAAAGCAAGCATAGACATGTCCTAGTATGGGAGAATTTAAAATAAACACAGAAGCAGTCCTGGCTAACATAGCAATCTTTTAGTTCAAATGGTTCTTGACCCAACACAGTTCAGTATATTTTATTTGTGACAAAAAAGAAAATAAAATCATACTAATGAATTATGCAAATGATGCAAAGACTGGTGGGGTGGCACATAATGACAAGGACCCAGCAGTCATAAAGAAATACATTAAATGCAATCAAATATGTTTTAATACAGCTAAATGCAGGGTCACACACTTTGGAACAAAGAATGGAGGACAGTTTTCATACATACAGTTTACATACAGGAAAGGGGACAGTTTTCTGGAATGCAGTGATTGGAAAGGATTTGGGATATTGCTGGAGATAAGTAACTGAATGTGAGCTCCCAGTGTGATGCTATGGTAAAAAGGGTAAACACTACCTTTTGGTACAAACAGGGCAGTAGCAGTGAGGGTGGGTGGTGGTATTACCTCTTTATATTGCATACTGTGCTCAGGTCTTGTGTCCATACTTGAAAAGGATATTGAAAAGCTGGAATGGTCTGTTCAGAGAACAGTCATACAAATTATCTGAGGTCTGGAAAATCCACTTTATAATGAGAGCCTTAAACAGATTGAATCTTCAGTAACCTAGGGTGCTCAGAGGCAACTTGATCAGTATAAGTACTGACACAAAGAGAAGCTGAGATGTTGGGGGGCCCTTTAATCTAACAGACACTGACATAACAAAATCTGATAGCTAGAAGCTGATGTTAGAGGAAAAAATCAAAGTGGAAGTAAGATGCAACATCTTAACAGTGAGAATAACAAATCACTGGAACAGCTTCCCAAGGGAAATGTTAAATTAATCATTACTTGAATTCTTTAAATCAAGATGGGATGTTTTTTTAAAAGATAATACTATAGTTAACCACAAGTTACTCAGCTCAGTAGTGTTCACTTACATAGAAGGGATGAATGATTTCCTCAACTGCAGGAATTACTGGGTGAAATTGCACAGCCCTTGTTAGATGAGAAGTCAGGATAGATTATCATAGTTGTCCCCTCTGGCTTTAAACAGCTGAGTCTGTTTAGTTAGTTTTTACCACTCTCACTGTGGTATCTGACTCCCCTGACAAAGTTGCAAAAAACTTAAAGCCAACCTAACCTGAATGGTCTTTGGTTTCCCTTACCAGCATGAGGGCCATGGACTTTGCTGGCAGGAACCTTTATCCTTTTTGTCTGCTTTTCGCTAATATCGGATATATTTTCCAAGCCCTACGCAGAGTTCTATATAGCATTATTTGGTCAGCATCCCTCTTATGGACTCTAAGCAAGCTTCCTATCCTAGCAACAACACAGTGCAGTGTATGGACATCTATAACCAATGGTCTCTAGGGCCATTAACAGACATGCCAAACAAGCAGGGCAACTTGTCAAGACCAGGAGCTGTCTCTGACATCCCCACTTCCAGCACATGCGGCACAACTTCAGATACTAGCATGGAAGCTGGACTTTGCCCACGGAGAAGCCACAGAGGGAGGGCAGAACACAGAAGCACTTTTGCAGTGGAAGAAAGAGACAGTAACGTGTATGTGAACAGCACACGTTTTATTCCTGCATTTTCAGGTTGCATGAGTTTTAGTGAGATGTCCCAAGCATGTCGATTTATGCCTAAGTCTTGTATATTTTGGGTCTTGTCTACCTTAAGTTGATGCATTTTGAGGCTGGACTGTGGCTTATTTCATAAAGCACCATATACATTTATGGTGCCTCAGAAGTGATGATCGATAAATACCAGCCCCGTGCAGCAAAGTGACCATGGAGATTATACTTCTAGTAGGATTTTCCATGAGTGAGAGATTTCCACAGATGTGTTCCTCATCACACCTGCTCAACAGCACCTAGCCTTGCAGATGAACTTGTATGATGAAAGGATGATCCTTTGCCGTGTTAGCGTTTGTAGGCATTAAAGACCCTGATATTTCAAACGTTGGTATTAGTGTATCAATGAAAAAGTGTGTGTGAATTTAAATTGCTTCACTCTGTTTCGAGATGTCTCTGATTTCATTTGTGTGACTGAAAGCCTGTCAGTATAGCCTCAGTGTGGTTACTCAGTTGTCTCCGCGTTTCTCTTCTAGGGCACCCCCAAATAAATTATTAATCAGTAGGGGTTGGCGTCGGAAATGTTGAGGACACTTAGTGAATCAATGGAAGTGGTGAGTCCTCAGTACGTTTGACAGTTACCCCACATGATCTTAATGGGGCTACTAGTCTGAGGAAAGCAGTTGCTAGCTTTTACAGCATTAAACTAATACCAGCTTATGCTAATTACAACTGTGGCTAAAACATGCAGCTACCACCCAAACTATGTGGATAGGCTGAATATGTGTTTCCTGCTCAATTGCCTGAGTTATCTAATGCAACAGCTTCTTCTTGCTCGGCTCTGTATTCGATAATATAATATTCCACAGCACCATTTCCACGCAGACTATGGCACACAAGCAGTGGAGTGTGGGCTTAGACTAATCATTCTGACTAAAGCAGGGATACAGTCCCTCTCTCTTCTGGACTGTTCTCTGAATTTCTCTGGATTGGACTGTCACATTGAAATGTGCATCTACTGCGTTTTAATGCCCCTGGCTGTTCTTCACATGCTTTAAAGGCACTTTGGACTGATGATATTTTAAAAAATCCACCCCATGTTACTAATAATATCTGAGATTATTTAATATTCTTTCAGGTTGAATATTGGATTAGGCTGTTTGTTTACTTTTGGACACTTCACTCAGAATGACCAGTGAAACTCAAGAGGTCATTTTCACTTTTTCTGTAGCTGGTTTCCCTTTCTAGTTCTTGTGCCCTAGGGCATGGCCTCTGTAGCTGACATTCGAATATTGCCAGGGAAAGGTTAGATAGAAGAGGTTTTTTTCGCTGATATTTTAAAAAGTCTCAACATTAGATTTTTCTAAATCTTTGGTTTCTTTTTCCAAACTGAATGTTGGACCTAAACTACTTCCTTGTGTCCCTTTTAAAAATGTTCCTCTTTCTACCCATAATCCCCTTCTGAGTGAGGACTAATTGGGGCTCCAATTCATGCCAGTTATGCTCCGTAATTGGCTAGAGGTTCCAATGGGTGATGGTAGGAGGTGATATCAGGCACAGAGGCTAACAGCTTTCTCATAGTCCCCTGTGCATGCTCAGGCACCCCACCACCAGACTTTGAGCCAGACTAGTAATTTTAAACCATCAGGCTAATTGCCAAAATGTGTTTAGGCAGCATCTCCAACTCCTAGCCAGTCATCTTGTTTTAATCTGCAAATGCCATAAAGTCTTGTGGAAGTGCAGCAGATTTCACTGGTGTATTAGAATACAGTGTGGGGAGTGAAAGCTGCATTCCCCTGGGTATGGGAGCAGTTTCTGTTCCAACGCAATGAATGGAACGAGTTCCACTTCACTGCAACTAAAACTAAAACTTTCCCATGCTCCTGTGAAAAGGCAAAAGTGATGTTTGGTTCTTAACGCAAAATAAAACACCTCTGATCACTAGATCTTGACTATTGGAATTAGAAAGTATTAAAACCTGCCATGGGATTTCCTGGGGTGGAGAGAGAGAGAGAGACGCTGAATGTCCCCCTGCACCCCCAATCCATCTTAACTGCTGATCTTAAAGACTGTTCCAGTGTAATAGTCTTCCAATAGGTGTTTGGAGTAGCACTTCTTAAAACCCATTTTCCTCAGGACTGTGTCTCCTCTTTAGGGCTGGGTGACCCTTGCAGACTGGCACTGTAGCAGAGATGAGGTTTGAATGAGAGTTTATTCACTAATCTCCCCTCCAAGCACAGTTTGTGTCTTCAAACTCTAGTGTGTCCTGCTCTGCTATTTATGATGAGTCTTCCTGGGATTTGATGCTTTGAGGAGCAAAGGTTACTTCTCACTTTATTTTAATTTAGTTGGTGAAATTCGTGCTCCTGAAAACGAATGGCTGACAGTAGTGGTTGGGCTTGGGCTGTGCAAGTTTCTCTCAAAGCTCTGCTACTGTGTCTCAGTCCTGATCTGCCATCCCCTGGGGTTACTCATGTACCACAGTCCTGAGCTGCAATGGTTACTACTTTTTCTAGTCCTACCCTCCTCTTTGCCCCTCAGCTCTGTCAGTGCGCCTCAGAAGTGGCCTGTATCACACCCTACAGTTCCAGTTTTGGGCTTCCCATACGCAACTCGCCCAATCCCCTTTAACCCTGAACTGTAGCTCTTGCAGTCCTGGACTTCTGTAGATCAGAAACTGCCAAATTATGCAGTAGTTCTGTGCTGTGCAAATCGGGATTGGGATAGGTGATTGCCTAACTTGTGACCACAGTTTGACGCCTAGCCTCTGGAGATGTTAAACTGGTTCATTTCTTGAGCCCTGTTATGTCTGTTTGTCAATGTCCTCACTGAGCCGGGACCGCTGGCTGCAGGGGGATGTTGGCAGAGGGCAGTTTGCTTTTCTTCTCAGAAGTGATTCCAGCAGCTGCCTGAAATGCAGTTGTGGTCTGAGCCATGTGACTCTTCATCTGAATGCAGAAAGGACTTTCTAAATGTGATTTTAAGTGAATAGCAGCAGAAGCCATATACAGCCTAATGTCTCCCATGCTGTTAGTGACAGGGCAGCAGAAATATCTGCCTGCTTCTGAAAATGTCAATATGCTACATCAAACCATTAATCCTAAACCAGACTTGGAGGTGGGGTAGAAGGGAAAGACAGGTTTGATCAAGTGAATGCTTCGTTTTAATTTGCAACAGACTTGAAAGCCACATGTATAGCGATTGCTTTGAATGGAACTCTGTAAGGAGAATTTATTTAACAGTAAATCTGTTCCCCCATTTGGAGCAGGATCAATGTGTAGACATAAAGTTATAGATAATTATGGATTTCATTTGAAATTGGTTCTTCCTTTGCCTAGCTGTCAAGACTTATGTTCGGGATTCTCTGTTTCCTGTGTAAGAGTGGCTGCCTTTGTGAGCGCTTAAACCAGAGAATTTTCCTGCCCCGCCGCTGTGCATCTGCTGATATGAACAGCAACAGGGCAAATGCTGGGTCACTACAAAAAGTAATTTTCCCTCTGTTGATATTCACCCCTTCTTGTCAACTGTTGAGAATAGGCCACTTCCACCTTGATTGAATTGGCCTCGTTAGCACTGATCCCCCACTTGATAAGGCAACTCCCATCTTTTCATGTGCTGTAATACATATACTGCTTACTGTATTTTTCACTCCATGCATCTGATGAAGTGGGTTTTAGCCCACGAAAGCTTATGCCCAAATACATTTGTTAGTCTCGAAGGTGCCACAAGTACTCCTCGTTGTTAGGGCAAATGCAGAAGCGGTTAGAGAGCTAGCTCTTAGGCTTTGTTTTAACATGTAATTATTATATACTTATGTCTACGTAACTATGATCTTATATCTTTTTTCCCAAAGGCTTTTCAGGTCACCTTTAAAGGTAATTTGCAAAGGGGGAAACATGGGTATGTTTATTTTTTTTATGATGGGGGGGGGGGGGGAAGAGCCTGAAAGGGTTTTTTCTTTTTCCTGCTCACACTTTACATTAGAGATTCAGGTCTTGTCTACACTGGTACCTGGAAGAATCTGCAGAGGATGGGAGTACTATCCTATTAGTAGAATTATGACATCACACTCTTCAAAGAAGTGAAATGTGATTGAGCAGGGAATAGATTTTAAAACTTTATATACAAACACCTGTTTGACTCCAATTGCTAACTGTTAGAACAGTGGTTCTCAACCAGGCGTACGTACACCCCTGGGGGTACAGAGAGGTCTTCCGGGCGTACATCAACTCATCTAGATGTAAAACTTGGCAAACAACAGGCTACATAAAAAGCACTAGTGAAGTCAGTACAAACTAAAATTTCATACAGACGACTTGTTTATACTGCTCTATATACGATACACTGAAATGTAAGTACAGTATTTATATTCCAATTGATTTATTTTATAATCATATGGTAAAAAGGAGAAAGGCAGCAATTTTTCAGTAATAGTGTGCTGTGACACTTTTGTATTTTTATGTCTGATTTTGTAAGCAAGTTGTTTTTAAGTGAGGTGAAACTTGGGAGTATGCAAGACAAATCAGACTCCTGAAAGGGGTACAGTAGTCTGGAAAGGTTGAGAGCCACTGTATTAGAAGGAAGGCTGAGAAAGCACCCTGTCCACCACTCTGGGCCCATCAAGGAGTTCTCCAATAAACACAGAGAAGAGAAGACTCGATATTCCTGATATTTCTAAAGTAAAAAAGAAGCAGAAGATTTTTATTTTTTTTTTTTATTTGAGGGTGGAGATCTTTTAGGACTTCTCTGTATATCACAAAACAGGGTACAAACTCATTTTGCTCTTGTTTTCAAATCAGCTTTTTAAGGACTCACCTACTTAGCCACATTCACAGATTCATAGTTCCCAGCATAAGACTGCACACTTCTGTCTACTCTACACAGGCAATGTGCAATGTAATTGTGTTAGAGCTCTGGTTACGTACATGGAAACATCATCTTCCATGTTTGCAGGAAACCTATTCAGAATTCACTTCCCCTGAGTGAGCCAGTCAAAAATCTAATACAAGGCAACACCCTTGTCTCTTTCCCAGTTGATCCATGTTCTTGTGTGTGTGTTTACTACATAGGGAAGTGATTTTTGTGTGTGTGTAAAAGACCTAAATCATTTTGTAAATGGTCCTGCACCTGCAGTGTAGAGGTTGCACCTTCTGAACAGCAACTCATTGTGCCAATTGGGTACAGGTGAGGCTGGAATCCTACACACAACATCCCATCAGCATTTGTGATTGAGACTCCATATGAGAGATTAATGACAAAAGTGAATAATACCACGTGCTCCACAGAAAACATTTCTCATTGGCTCTGTCTTCTAAAATGGCTACACAAGTGCTTAAAAATCAGAGCTCAGAGTAATGATGAATAGGTCAGTGATACATTAGGAGATATCATGGGTTTTCCATAGGGGTCGTTCTAGGTCTGGTACTATTCAATATATTAGTTGAAGCCTTGGAGGTTGAAGCAGTCAATGCACTTACCATCCTTTAATCTGATACAAAGCTGAAAGGGATCACCAATACCTGGGAGGACAGAAACAGATGACATTGGCCTGGGTAAATGAGTGAAGTGGGCTGAAATGAATCCCAGGAGATTCTACTAAGGGAAGAAAACAGTGGAGGTACAGAAGGGATAATCAAATGCGCTGTTATAGAATAGGGGATAATGGCTGGGCAGGTGTAGCCGAGAGTAGGTAATTGTTGAACCACATTTACTTTAATAGAATATCACATCTGAAAGAAGCATGGGATTTCTTCCACTCCATACAACGATGCTCATGCCTTAGCTGGAGGGCTGTATTCAGATCTGGGCAGCAATTTAAAAAAAAACAAAAACAAGCATATCGGAGAAAGTTCAGAGGAAACCAGCTAAAGTGATCAAAGATTTGGAAAATAAGAGCTGTTGGGAATATTCAAGGGATCTTGGCATGGAGAAAAGATGACTGCATAGAGACAATGACCTACTGGTAGAGTGGTGTTATATAGAGGACAGGTATCAGCTATCACTAGTCAGCGAGGACAGAATGAGAAGTAACAGATTTAAGATACAGTTTCCCAGTTAAATATGAGGGGAAAGTTTAGGAAGAGTTCAGTAAGAGAGAGCTTCCAAGGGAGGCTGTGGCATTCCTGTACTCAGAGATTTGAGGTTACAAATAATGCCCAGAAAGTAGGGTGATGGGTGCCTTACAAAAGCCTAAGCTGCACAAAAGAGGCTACCTTCCATTGTTGTTGCAGTGTAGCCATGTTAGTCCCAGATATTAGAGAGACCAGGTGGGTGAGGTGATATCTTTTATTCTTCAGGTCCGAAGAAGAGCTGTGTGTAGCTGGAAAGCATCTCTCTTTCACCAATTCATGTTGGTCCAATGAAGGATATGACCTCACCCACCTTGCCTCTCTGAGAGGATACTGTCATATTAGGGATACTCTGCTCAGGCCTACCATAATGCTAGGAAATGTACTAGCTGACCCACGGGGGTCTCTCTTCTAACCCCAGTTGGGGTCTCCTCTAGGGCTTGCTTTGGCCTGCTAATGTGTTTAATGTATAACTGCCTTGTGCACACGGTGATTTTACCATGTTAGCTAATGCATGGTAAGACCCACCTCATTTACTAGTGTGGCTGTATCCTTCATCTACAGCTGCGTCTTGAGCCAGGGGTCACTTGCATGATGTTTGATGTTCTAAATCTTCATTACTCTAATTCCTACTTCTTAGCTCTCTTCTCTCTGTTTTTTGAAAGGTTCGAATGTGGGAGTTGTCCCAGATGCGGTTGCTGCTGATGTCGCCCTGGGAGAATGCCTTGATGGGTGATTAGCACCATTCAGTGATGGGCTGTGGGACAAGCAAAGTGCTTCCCGAGCCCCCCACGGACGTTCAGTTAGATCTGGTTAAAAAGGTTGAGCCTTACACTGGTCATAAAAATGACGTGTACAAGCACTTCATCAAGGATGATGGTGGAGCTGCTATCAAAGCTGGCTCCCCCTCGCCTCCTCGTCACACCAACCCCTATTCCAGTGGCCACCCACCTAACTACATGGAGCAGCCTGAGCCCCGCAAGAACAAGGTGGCTAAGTACCGTGCCAAATTTGACCCCAGGGTGACCGCCAAGTATGACATCAAAGCCCTGATTGGCCGAGGCAGCTTTAGTCGTGTTGTGCGGGTGGAACATAAGGCTTCCAAGCAGCCCTATGCAATCAAGATGATAGAGACCAAGTACCGGGAAGGGAGGGAAGTGTGCGAATCAGAGCTCTGTGTGTTGCGACGGGTTCGGCACACAAACATCATCCAGCTCATTGAGGTGTTTGAGACCCAGGAGCGAGTCTACATGGTGATGGAGTTGGCCACCGGAGGGGAACTGTTTGATAGAATCATTGCCAAAGGCTCCTTTACTGAGAGAGATGCTACCCGAGTGCTGCAGATGGTGTTGGATGGGGTAAAGTACTTACATACACTGGGCATCACGCACCGGGACTTAAAACCAGAGAATTTGCTGTATTACCATCCTGGAACGGATTCTAAAATCATGATCACAGACTTTGGGCTAGCAAGTGCTCGGAAGAAGGGAGATGACTGCCTAATGAAAACCACCTGTGGGACACCAGAGTATATCGCCCCAGAAATCCTGGTCAGGAAACCCTACACCAATTCTGTGGACATGTGGGCACTGGGTGTGATCTCGTACATCCTCCTGAGTGGAACTATGCCCTTTGAGGATGACAACCGAACCCGCTTGTACCGGCAGATCCTGAAAGGAAAGTACAGTTACTCAGGGGAGGTGAGTGTGGCAAAGGTCGAACCAAGGGGGACTCCAGACAGAGTCTGGACCATCAGAGCTGTGATGGGAGCCCTGTGATCATAGGCAGAGCAAGGTGGCTGTCTTGAAAGGGGTTTCCCTTTGCCATGTTCAGTACGTGGTCCATAAGGTGACTTCTTTAACAGGCTCAGGTCAGATTTTTGTGCCACAACTGTCTGAGCTGTTCTGGATTAGCCATAGGTGAATTCAAGGCTGGGAATCTTACACAGGGTAGTTCAGTGCTGGCTCTTTTTAGGAATTGGCAGAGGTCTGCATTCCTGACCTATTAAAATCCCTCCTGTTCTGCAGGGGATTCTCTCTGCCATTCAGGTTTGATTCCACTGAGGAACAGAGTTCTTTTTAAAAACAAAGCAAAACAGCCTTCCGCCCCCCCTAAGACAGCACAGGAAGAACATTAACTGATTAGGACGCTGATTGGTATCTGAGTTTGGGTGACGTGACCCAAAATGTGTTATGCTAATTTTGGACAGTAGAATTCTTATTTTGTGATGGAAACAAGACCAGGGTAAAATTTTCAGAAGTTCCTTTTCAAGAATGACTTAGGAACTTAAGTCCTATTGGCTGTCACTGAAACAGAGTCTCCTTAGTCATTTTTGAAAATGGGACTTAAGCACCTAAATGATTTAGGAGCCTTTGGAAATTTTATCCTAGAACCGTGTTACGACTTTAACGGTTGGTTTAGTGCTGGGCTCCATTAGATTTGGTACCTCACTTCTTTTACACTCACCATCCTCTGGCTTAAGAGGATAAACAAGATGTAGCATGCACCTGTCGGCTTTTTGTTTCCGATACAAACTACATATTTGTCTTGAAAGACTTGACTCCTGAAATTCCTAGAGTTCTCACGCAGTCTTTAGTTACAGCTGGTCACCTCTGGTTGGAGCCACAAAGGCCTTTGGGTGCCTAATTGCCACGTTAGGTGCTTAGGTTCAAAACTGGGATCCTTAAAACCCCACGCAGCTGCCACCTAACACTGGAGGCATCGAAAGGCCCTAGGTGCATAAGTTTCAGCTGGTGAGTGTAGTCCTGACATTGCTGAGCTGCTGGACCTCTTCTTTATGTCTGAGCCTCTGTGGAATCCTCAAACAGGGCATTCTGCCCCCATCTTCTCTGAGGGGCCTGATTTGGTAGGTGGGCTCAGAAGCTGCTTTAGAGCACACACAACACAGTTGAGGAGCAAGAGGTGATGTTGCTGTCTTTATCCAGTAGCACAGTGGTTAGAGCTCACCCAGGCTGTGCAAGACCGCAGTTCAAATCCCCACTCTCCTGTATTCAGAGCAGGGACTTGAACCCAACTTTCCCGACACACAGGTGAGTGCTTTAACCACTGAACTATAGGATTGTCACAGATCTGGTCGGGCTCTCACTAGACTGCTGTGAAGTTACCCAAGCCTAGGCTCCTAGGTGGTTTAAGACGTCAGAGTCTGAACAGAGCCCACTCACGGTCCCTTTCCTAGCACCTCTGCAGACTGAGAGATGTGCCTATGAGCTGAGAGCTCAGATCTCATGGTGTACGTAGTCTGTGGGCATAGTGCTGACCCTTCAGGCTCCCCATAGCTTACACCCTTTCTCCCAGTATCCCGTCAAAAATGTGAGCCTTCTGGGTTAGTTTAACTCTCTCTCGGGGGGTACCTGATAAGTGTAAATCATATAAATCACACACTTTGCACTGGCTTCTTACACACTAATGCGCTTTACTTAATCATGAGAGATACACAGATCTGTACAAAAATAACCCAACGTGCATTTCCCTGCCTCAGTTTCCTTACCATTCCAGAATATTATTTGGGTTGCGGTTAGAGTCCCTTGGGTTGTCCAGAGTCGTCCTACTGCATTGCATGGCTAGGCTTAGAACATGGAGTCATCTCGCCCTAGGTCACTTTGCTTCATTTGCCCTTGGTCGGTCTGATCCCTTCCTTCCTCCTGCTCAGACTTCCTGTGTGCTGCACCCCAAGTTCCCCTGGGTGACTGTGAGTCTGTTTGTGTACCCCTTTACCAGTATCCTGGCTCTTCTGTCCTGTGTTTGGTAACTTTCTACTACTCTATTTTCCCACCTCCCTTCAGAGAGAGGAAGTGTCTTTTTTTCCCCACCTTGAGCAAATTCCCTTAGCATATCTATTGGCTGTGCACAGCACCTTTGTTAACGTTAAGTATTCTCCATTGTCCCTGGTCTGGGGAAGACATGACCCAACCCCGCCAGCTCATGCTGGATACACATACTGAGGCTTTCCATGATACAGCATGTTCATGATCATCTCAAAATAACGTCATGATGTCAACCAGAATTCACAAGTTGTACAGACAGGGTCCCCAAATCATCATCCCAGGGGCATTCTGGGGTGAATGTCGCAATCTCTCCCATTGAAGCTGTTCCACTTGGTATCAAATATTTCTTGGAACAGAGACTGGAACCTGGTCTCCTAAGAGTGTACTAGCCAGTAGGTGATAGTCATTCTCTCACTTTCTGGCTCAGCAGAGTGGAACAGCTTCAGCAGGTGAGAGTGCGACACCCACCCCACAATACCTTATAGCCCAGGGTTAGGGCACTCACCTGGGAAGGGAGAGACCTGGCTTCAAGTCCCTGTTCTGAATCTGGCAGAGGGGCAATTTGAACCCGGGTCTCCCACATGCTGGGTGAGTGCCCTAGCTATTGGTTATAAGGAGGACACCACCATCACCTTGTTCTTTTCCTTTTAAAAAGGGCTAGCCTGGCTTTGGTGCCACAGGAGTGGGTTCGTGGCTATGAATCCCAAGCAGAGATAGGTGCCTCCCTCCAGCCCAGAGTTCGGTGCCTAGCTCCCTTTGAGGCCCCACCCCTTCTCCTCGGCATTTCCTGCTGACTAGCTTAAGTGTCTCCCCACTCAGCGTCCTGACCTCTGTGAAGTCCGTTTTTAGGCATGCCATTCTCCCCAGGCATTGCATAGGAGCACGGGCACCTAACTTGGGGCTGTGGATTCCACTAATTGGCGGATATTGCAGCACTGAGTCTAAGTCACCTTTATAGATCTAGCCCCTAGACGTTAGGTCCTGAGGACTTGATGGTTTCTCAACTTGGCTTGGCATTTTGTCTTTGAATCTATGTCACTCCTTATCCCACGGTTATAGCGGGATGAGGGCACCCAGATTTGGAGGCAGTCTCACTGCCTACATCCCTGTTTGAATTACCACTTCCTTTCTGAGTACTCCCAGCTCAGACTGCCCTAATAGCATAACTTTGTGAAGAGGAACCGAGTGGGAAAGGAACCGGTGCTAACACATGGACTAAGTTTCTGAAGCAGGGAGTTGTGGAGTGACAGTAAAATAACAATGTCTGAAAAACAGCACATCATCTCAATTGTTCTGGCATTTTTAGAAATGTGAGGGGGGTGTTGGCATTTCAGTGATGGATGGAATGAGTCTCCTAATGTATAGCTCAGATTGTAAAACGTTTTGGGCTCCTTCAGAATAAAAGGTGCTGTAGAAACATAAGTCATTCTCCCTAAGGACGCTTTGGAAGATGTAAGCGTGTGTAAGACAGGCCCACGCGCCAAAAATAACCTTTTATCCTGTCAAGCTGTGATCTTCCTAAACTGACCTGCAGCAGCCATATCACCTGGTGCTGTGATCTGATCAGATCTTGCCAAGGTGAATCAGAACTTGCATAGGCAGCCTCCAAGGACGTGCTGATGGAATTGTCATTGGTAAGTGGTACTCTTTCCTCTGAGTCACTACTAGAAGAACCGTCTGCCAGCATGGAGGAAGGCACTGGGCTTTCAGGGGTACCATGTTGCAGATGAGACCTAAAGCCAAGATTCTGACCTTTTGTGGTCATCAGAGATCCTGTGATACTTTCTCTAACTCACTGTCCTGGCAAATTTGAAGCACATTACTAGAGCCATCCTGCCAAGAATGACACAGTTGGGGGAATGCATAGTCCATGATTGCTTTGTGATTTTTTGGGGGGAGTTTGTTCTGGAAAGCTATGCCCCTTTACTGTGTGAAGGAGTGTGGTATGGCTTAGTTAGTTTCCTGTGTATGTTGCCCAGCTGGCTTCTGTTCTTGTAGAGCCAATGAAAATGAAAGCTCTGATTTACAAGATTAAGCAAGCCTCTGTCCCCGAATTACAGATAGACTCTAATGCTGCTGTACATTGGCACTGAGGTAGCAGTGTGCTGCACAGGGCAAGGGAATGATTTCTAGGTGGAGGGAAAGTGGGCCAAATGTTCAGAGGAGCCTGGCAGGTTTCCAAAGGCTTCCTGGATTCTTTCCAAGTGTCAGGCATCCTGTGGGGAGGTAAATGCTCCCGCTTTCCTGATATTCGTAGAGAACTGATTTTCTTTTCCTCTTCTCCCGGTATAAGGAAGAAAAATCTCAGAAATGAGCCTGCTGGTGAGATTTGTCAGGCTGTGCCCCAGCCTCCCAGGGGGAGGGACGGGAGCCCCATTGCTTGGTATATTTAAAACTAGATTGGACAAAACTTTTGAGAATGTATTGTAGGGAGCAATCTGCCTTAGGCAGAGAATGCAGGGATGGACTAGACAGGAGCAACCAGTTTTTTCTCAATTCCGACTTCGAGACTCTGAAATGAGGGTGCATTTCCCCAAGAGGGGAACTCTGAAGAGAGATCTGTATGGGTGTTTGCCAGGAGTTTACAGCTGGAGCTGTGCAGAAAAGACAGGTGTCAGTGATGAGGGATGTTTGGGGGAGAGGAGGGAGCTGCATCCTAACCACAATCCAGTCAGGTGGATAAAAATCGATGATTTTTTTTAATTGGATTTTTCTGATTTAAATTTGATTTTTTTTTTTAAAATATAACTTAAATGCACTTTTAGGTTTACTTTAAAAATATTTGAAGTTATGACAACCTGTGTTAAGGCCTATGTTTATAATCTATTAAAATAAATTAAATTAAAAAATATGAAGCAATACATGCTTGCTGCCAAATCTTAAAGAAAGTCAAATCACTGAACTGGTGGAAGTCA